ACATGAAATGAAATCACAAGTATCTACCTGCACACCTGGGGTTATGAATTTGGATGCACATCCCAATGAAAGCAATGCAGTGAGGAGAGAGAGCCCTGCATTTCCATGTGCAACTGATTTAAGCTGCTACTGCTCCTCATTTCATAAATGCAACAATTCTCTTTAACTGAATGAGGCTGCTTGGTCACATGCTGCTGGCATTCTACACCCACCCCAAGCAACCTGGGCAAAACAAGAGTCTAAAGTGACCATTTATACCACTGAAGTAGCATTGATTCAGTTGCTTCAGCAGTGGGCCACTGTGTTTCATCTTTCCATCACTAACTATTCAGTCTCTGGAAGAATTTCAGTTCCCTTCACAACTTAATCTGGCTGCGGGGCACCCTAACATTTTCATGCTGGTTCTATAGCGGTTGATTGGTTTGAATTCTGTAGCCAGTGGGAGGAAAAATACTTTCTTTAAACACTGTAAGGAGGGTTAGTAAATTTTTCACCACTGCCCTAGCCACAACATCCATCTCTGATAATTCTGTACAGCCCTACTAATATTGGAGAACTGTTTGGTTTATAGCAATGCCAAATATTCTGCTACACTGTATAAACTAACCCTCTCTACTTTAACTCATCCCTTTGCAGGAGAGCATAATGTTTGTGAAGCTTTTTTTTTTTTTTTTTAACAAAACCATAAATATTAAAACCCCCCCCCCCCAACACACACACATACCGTTTCCTTCCTTTTTGGGGTCAAGTGTTGGCCACAGAACAAAGTATTTGAAGCCAATGAAGCCAGTTCCTCTTTTGGCAAGAGAGACTTTGGCTGCTCATGCTCTGGCTGCGCCTTTCAGTTGCCTTGTCATAAACATTCTTCAAGGAGCATGGTTTTAATTACACTTTTGCCATCTGTAGAAGCATTTTGAGTTGGAGAAAGATTCTAATGTTCCATAATTTTACACATATCTACAATCAAAACTGCATATTTTTCCTGGCTCCTTACAATCCCTTTGTTATCCAGCTTCACATAATTTTCAATACCTAACTGCTTTCCTCTTATTAAAAACAGAAATGGAGTGAGCATCGTTAAAGAAAAACTTGGTTTTATTTGCTCCTTACTCTTCATTACATTATTTACTGCTGCAGGCTCATAGTTGAGTTAGTCATGTCTAATTTATGGAAATGTTGTGGGCCAGCTATAGCTGATGCTGTTTAAACTGTTTCCTCTGTTTTGAGCATGCTGGTGTTTTCTGTGCAGGAGATGAAATATGAACACACAATCATCATCTTCCATAGTTCTTGGGGCTAGGAAAGCACTTCTTTTTCCAGGCATATGGTCTCGGAGGGACCCTGTAAAGGGATGTGGAGCAGCACAAAGAAATATGTATATTGCCAATTTCTGTCCATGAATTCAGCATCTATTAAAGGGTTGCTTCCCCAAAAGTAGAGAAACAGTCTCAATATTTGATGCATGGGATTCCAATATTCAGGTATTTCAAGGGTCAGTGCAATTATATTTGCCTCCACCCAAAACAAACAAACCAGTAAGAAGAGCTGCACCTATATGCATCCGTCATATCGCTTGCAGCAGAAGGCAGCATTCAGATGATACTCCTGCACTCAGCAAGAAAGGAATGTAGGAACTGAGCACAGTTCACTTCTATCTTAGCCAGTACAAGGAGCTACTATATTTTTCCCTCTTCAGTCCCACAGCCCAAATTGGGAAGGAAGGACAGGCTGGTCCACCTCTATCTCCATAGTGACCATCAGGTTGCAGAAGAGGGAAACTAGGCTTAGACCAACACACCCCTTTGGTGTATTGTTTTTTATTCCCATTTGCCTCCCACGCCCCACCAGTGGTCATCTTGGAGGTAGAGGGGAATGGTTGATTTTTCTTGCATTCCTGAAACAGGTGCATGTGGACTGGTTTATGATGAAGCTTCATGAAAGTCCATATCCCCTCTCTGTGCAAACCCATCATTTAGGGTTTGGGGGGTCAAAGGAGGCCTTTTCTCTCTGAACTTATTCCCCTCCTCTTCCAGTAATGAATTCATTGCATGAAAAAAGTAAGGGCAACCAATATCTATAAAGAGTTCTTTGCTTCTCTTTCTTACTCCACCAAATTGGATCTCAGTTCATATTCTTTCCAAACACCAGTTGTTTCCAAAGATGTTTCAGTGCGCACATGCAAAAAACATGTTGTATTGTTCAAACCTGTTCCTCAAATTGGTGTTGGTGCTTGCTTAAATCCTCAAGTTATTATTGTACTTGCTTATCATTTTGAAATCCTGTTCTTTTATTGTTATTGAGTTGTTTCCAGCATCCTAGCAACCACATTGTCAACATTCCCATCTACTGGATTCTCTGAAATGTGCTCCTGTGGTTCTCCAGTGCCTCTTTAATATGAGCTTTCTTGACTGTATAAAAAATCTTAATTGCTTGATCAAGTGTGGATATCAGTTGATTGACTAAGGGTACAATTCTGTGCATTTTAAACAGAAAAAATCTTACAACTGACAAGCTGTAGGATGCTGGGAGTTGTGTGACTTCTGCCTAAATACATGTATTGCACTCTAAAGCTGTATAAATTTGGATATACGGAAAACAATTATTTTAAAGCAAATAACATGTTTTCTTTGCACTATACATGATGCATATACATGTTGTAGCCGGTATCACCATAAAAGAGGCATTCTCACATCTCTGTATCTCTCTCTCTCTCTCTCTCCCCCCCCCCCCACCCTTTTCTCTCTCACACACACACTGGAGAGTGTATTCCTTGTTCAGATACTGTTGCTGCTTTTCATTCTTGTTGCTTTTATAAGGTGATAATCATGTCAGCTGATCTTTTGGGATTTGTTAACAGCACATTTCTTCAAGTAGTAGAAAAGGAATTCTTTTCTTCTTTCCATCCCAAGGGAAAATGATTTGCCAATCATTTTTTTCTCTTTCTTCCTTTCAAGAATGACTGTAGCCAGTTATGCTGGGTTTATGAACTGCTTCAGAATCTTAATTAAAAAACAGCTGCAGTAATGTCAAGGGCTGGCTGTTCTTTCTAAATCCATTCATAACACAGCTGCACACAAAAAGTTCATTCTTGCCCCAACCTTGGTTTTAATAAATTTAATCATTCAGTTTTGGTTTATGTGGGATGCAAACAAGCCAAGCATATTCAAGGATTCCAAGTATTGGAAAAGGTCTAAACTTTCCAAGACGCTACATCTGAAATGTCAAAATACTTCCTGTAATTTGTTGTTAATTTGAGTAACTCGACAATGCACTGAGTCCCACTTCTTTAGTGGAACTTACTTCAAGAAAATGTGCTTAAAATGTGCGTTAAACTTTGGCATAAAATAGCAACAACAACATTCTTTCTGTTAGGGTTGTGCCTCTGCCTGGTGGTCATTTCCCTTTATATCTAGCATGCCTAAATTGGGTAAATGTATTGCCATTTAGGATGCTGTAAAACTGAACATAATGCTTCAGTAAAACTGCTTGGGAAAGTGTCTGTAGCTTGGCAGGCTGAAAACACCATGCGGACTGAAGGTTGCACTTTTATTTTGGTAGATGTGATTCATACTTCTTACCTTTAGATTTGAATACACAGTGTGCTTGAATGGCAAAGTAGCTTTAACACTTTGTAACACTTTGCATCCAATGTATTTCTAGTGTATACTTCCCTGTTTCTTCTGTGGCTTTCCTGTAAAGAGGTTTCCTGTTTGAAGGCTTCCTTGGTGTTCTAGAACATAAATATTTAGGATGTAATGCTCACTAATATTAACATTAAGTGGATTATTTCCATAATGAAGGCCTGTCATTGAAAGGGATTAGCATAGAGTATTCAATGTGCCAGAATGTATTTTGACATAACCTAGTACTGATAATTTACTTTACACTTTTTTCCAAGGGGAATAGAGATATCTATAGGCCAAATGATTTACAATAGGAATTAGGTTTCTGTACTGCAATGAGCAATACCAGGAAGCAGAACTTTTTAGAGCCATTCAGCAGAATGAAGAACATAATCTGGGAAATAATTTGCTAGCCAGAATAAACATAATCTTTAGAAATGCCTGGAATCTTTAGAAATCTTTAGAAATCTTTAGAAATGCCTTATTTTACTTCTATATCATGAATAATCTATGGTCCTAAGAACCACTGTGACATTGAATAAAGTGATGATTCTGAACTTGGGCTATATGGTTCAAATTTCTTTTTAAGTTACTCTCATGAGAAAACCTTGAACAATTTGTAAATCATAATCAAAAAATCAATTCCCAGTATCAAATTAAACACATAGCCTAGCCTGCCTAAGGGATGAGACCAAATATATAAGGACTAGTAGCGGTTCTACATCAAAATGTGATATTTAGAATTAATATTAAATGTAGGGCTTTTAATTTGAAGCCCCCATGAAGATGTGTATAAAGATATACATAGAATAGTTGTCTTTATGGTGAATACTTGACTTACATGTTTAGGACAGTATTATCACAAATCACAATATTACTCATTCCATGTAAGTATTTTAAATGTTTTAAGCCACTTACTATTGAAAAGTGTCTAAATAGCTTACATTAAAACATACATTATGTTTATGTGTATAAATCAAATAAGCAGAATAGAGGCTCAGCCTCCTGGAAAAATATCCCTTCCTGTGTTCTAATGAATTTTTTCAATCAAGACTGATACCAAGATTACACCTAGCCAATCATAAATACCAATGAACAGTAGAGTGAAAAAGTAGACTAATAAATATGTAGAGCAAAGTCATGTGTAGGTATGTTTATAAGAGGGATTTGGCTCCTAGCCTTTGATTTTTTGCCATATATTTAAGATGGGTCAGTGAGCTTAAAAACAAGGTCTGGAAATACTGCACTGTTGGATTCATGGTACAATAACTTGTCATTCATTTGCACAATAGTCATACTTCAGCAGCTTTAAAATTGGAATGTTAACACTGGTATTTTTTGTTACTAACCCTATTTTCTTTTGTATCTCTTTTATAGCATGAAAGACTTCCCAGGTAAGAGCTTTAGGATGCATGTTTTCATTAATCATATATTTCTATCTGTTTCCTTCATGCATCTTGCATGAATAGCATTTTTCCTTAAGTGCTTATAGAACCAAAACTCCTCACAACCTATTTCAAGATTATCAGTAACATAATAGGCCATCTTCTGTATTCTGAATTTCTTTTCCCATCCCATAATCAAAATTTATCAACAGTGAGTAGTGGAAGGAGGTAGGTGGTTCTTTCTGCCAGAATGAATGAAGAATTTCTTTTCCTTCCTTTCCAACTGCCTGAGTGGAAAACAGTAATTTGCAGGTTGGGGGAAGAAATGCCAGCATTGTTACAAATAATAGAGTATGACTTTCCTCTGTTTCTATTTTTTCCCTTAAATTACCTAAAAAGGTAGAATTTAAATTTGCAAGTTGTCTATGAAGAGGTGAAGTTACTGTTTTGCTTGACTCCAGATTAGATGCTGTAAGTTCAAGCACTGGCACCAGCGATACCTACACTGACCGTCCGACAGGCCGCAACAGTAGCTACACCAGAAGAGAGAATCGTCTGGCTGCCCTCACCAGCAGAACGGAGGATGATAGTGGCAAGGATTATAGGAGAGTACGTTACCAATACATACATTTTTGATGCCTTCTTTTTTCTTTATCCCTTCCTTATTTCTCAGCAATTTCGTAGACAGCAGTTTCAGGTACGGCTGGAAACTCTGGGAGAAGTAAATTATAAACATTTAAAAACATACATTAAAACCAAAAACAAAAAAAAATATCCCTTTCTTTAAAGACAGCTATGCATCCTTTGGTCAGGTCATTGCAATCCCAATGAGAATATTAGGTTCCAGTTTGTAAAGAGAAGAACTGAAAATATTCACCATTCACTCTTTATCCTTTCAATAAGTTTGTTGAATTGGCAGATCATATCTTTAATCCATTTCCCCTATAGTGATGTCTGGGACAAAAGGGTATGTCTGGGAATGGTGCAGCATATCCATGAAGCTGTCATATAGGGGAATATCAGTAGCAGTGTTTAAATTTGGGCAGTCTGACTGCCATTTTTCACCATTTAATTGATAATCCCTGATTATCTTTCTTTGTTTCCTAGAGCAGAATTCAGTAGGTATATGAGGTGCAGGAGCACACATGTGGGTTTTTATGTAAAGCTATTGTTTTTTAGTCTTCCTGTTCAAAATCAGAAGTAGAGGTTTCCTAACAATGCAGATTTGCAGTTAATGCTGATCTTTGAGGTACCGCAGTAGCATGTTATGCACCTATTCTTCTCCATTATAGGGCTGTTGATATTTCTGTATTTGAAGTCTTATCTAATACTGACGGGTCTTCTTTGTTGTTCTTGTTTTCTTTTCAGCTCTATGAAAGTGCTCTGACTGAAAATCAAAAATTGAAATCCAAACTGCAAGATGCCCAGGTGGAGCTTGTGGATATCAAAGCAAAAATGGAGAAAATTGCACAGGTGATGTAAAGGCTGTAGTGAAAATGTAGCCCGGAAGATTAAAATAGTAATGAAGACTATTACTACTCTCTGTTACTATACTATTCTCTCCTCAGTCCAGCAGCTGAGGAGTATTGTTTCTCAGACCAACAATAATAATAGAAGGATTTGGGGCAGTAATATTATATCAGATAGTATCTTAATAGATACTCACCTTTGCATACACTGTCTTCTTGTTATTCCTTACTGTTTTAACAATGTGTCTGTATGTTGTTTGTTTATTTACATTTCAATAGCAGAAGCAAGAAAAAACTTCTGACCGTTCAAGTATGCTTGAAATGGAAAAAAGGGTATGTGCTTCAACTTTTCATTGTCTGTTTGTTTAAAATGATTGACTGAGCTTCATGGCTAAGGAGGACTAGAACCTGGATCCCCAGGCCCCCAGTCCAGCACTCTGACCACCATGCCACACTGGCTATATAATTGGTTCTATATGCTGCAGCCTTCCCCAACCCTCCAGATGTGTTGAACTACATATCCCATAACCCCCTGCCAGCATTATGAGCAGTATAATTTAACACATCTGGAGGATGCCACATTGGAGAAGACTGAATTAGCTGAATAGAGATGTTCCACTGATGTTTAATTTGCAAATGTGTGGTCAAATATATTTTATTTTTCATTAATTATTAAAATACCTGTGACAGAACACTGATTAATTCTATTCCAGTCTTAGTCTGAAAGCAGTTCTGTTGAAAGTAACAGCTAAGAAAAAATAGTGTCCCATCCTACTTTAAAGGTGAAATATGTAACAAGCTTAATATGTATTACATTTATTCTACTAAATCCTCTTTATCCAGTAACAAAGGTCTCTTTCTTCCAGGACTTATCAGCATGGAAGATCATAAAGTAGATTCAAACTACAGTTCTTTGAATTAATACAGCACTTGTATTATCAGTCCTGTCATCTTGCTTCTTTTTTATGTTATTATTTGCTTTTTGTTGAAACAAAAACAAGAAAATAAACTGTACACAAATTTACAAACCAAGACATTAAATCAAATGTTTGTAAGAGAGATGGTGCTAGGACAAAATGTGGAGCACTTGCTGTTAGTTGGACACTTGGAGCTCATTCAGGGAGTGTGGCATGAATAAGAACATAAGTGCAGCCCTGAGGAATGAAACCATAGGTCCTTCTAACAGAGCCTTTTGCTTCTCACAGTAGCCAGCCCAGTACTTCCAAGAAGCCCATGACCAGCCTTGAAGGCAATAGCTCCCCCATGCTGCTATTCCCCAGTAATTGGCATTCAGTGGCTTGCAGCTTCTCTGCATGGAGGTTCCAGTAGCCATCCTGATTTTACCATGCCTATCCTTCATATGCTGAGTACCAGTTTCCCCCTTCTCCCTCTTTATATATTTATTTACTGTACTGCTGGTACCTTTGGAAACAGTGTGTGTGTGTTTTATCTTTTATGAGATGTTACTTTGGCACTTGAAATTCTCAGCCATAGAAAAATTTGGAAAAAATCCATAGCCCCTCTCTCTACTTTTCTAGTCCTGGGCTATACCAGTTTTGTTTGCTTTGGGAATTATATATCCAATATGGAACTTCCAAACTAGTGAAATAATATTCTTATTGCCCACATATGTCATCTGTAGGCAACGGTTGGGCCTTTCACAGTGTTGGCACCAGCTTCTCTGGGACAGTAAGAAAACTGACTGTCAGTGAGGTGAGGATTGCTGATAGGGTCTGGCTAGGCAGTTGAACCAAGGGCAGAATAAAAAGCAGGAGAGTTGTGAGGAAGAGGCCGGATGGTCTGTGTAGAGGTTCGGGATATAAGAAAGAAGAGATGATAATGCAGATAAAACTGGACAGTGGGAAAGGTGTGTATATATATGAAGGAGCAGTCGCATGCACAAACTGAGGAGCAGTTTGCCATTCTTTGTTCTGAGTGTAGAACTAAGTTATATTTGATTAATATATTACTAGCCTATTAATACTATTTGTATTAATAGCCTATTAAAACTATTTGTATACTTTTTGCGGTACGCTTTTCCTCATTAAAAAGTCTGATGACTGAAGATCCCCATATTGCAGAAAAGATTATCATTTTGAAAATATTCCTTTCTCAACAGGAGAAACGAGCTCTTGAGCGGAAGCTTTCTGAAATGGAAGAGGAGATGAAGGTATGAAAACCTCCTTACTTTCCCCTTCCTTACTCCTACGGTGTAGCACTATCTTTTTGGATTATCATGTAAGAACACAGTTGATAGTTTTGTAAATGAAAACTTCATTGTTGAGTGAATATTCTAACATAGCTTGCTCAATGTGCACCACTGCTGCTCACGCACTCCCTATTCTAGGAGAGTGTTCTCTAGAACTTTCTCTGAACTTCTGTGCACTCTTTTTCTTCAAGATTTATTTTTTTTACCAGGATACAGTTTTTAACTGTGTTTGTTGTGATGAAGGATGACTGCTCTGGTTCCTAGTAAATGCTTACTATCGTTCCATACAAGACTGGCCAACTATTTGTCCTACCAAATTTGAATTGAAGTCTGCTAAAAACCTTGCACAAAACTTTAGCTGTAAAGAAAGCGCCTCCCATTTCCAGAAGAAATATTCCTCACTTCCATGTTGCTTTTCTCTTAGGATTTCCTGTGTACTGCCTGTGATGCATATGGTATTTAACTTTGAAACCCTCACTTCTAGCTAGTGGTACACCTACTATGAAGTCTGAGCAATAGGAACAATTAATATGGCAAAATATACTTCCAATCTACTGACCATAATATGAAGTGGTCTCATATTTAGAATTTAGAACTTCATATCTCCCTTAGAATGCAATCCTGTGCATTCTAGACAGAAAAAGTCCTTAAACTCTTAACATTCTCAGCTGGCATTGCAGCCTTAGTGACGTAACTTCAGCCACATGCAGATATTTGTACAGTTGTATATAGTGCTTAATTCTTAGTGTACCAGCCATGAGACCAAGATGTAGAGTCATAATAATACCTGCTAGTGCAATTCATAGAAACATAGCAACATGCCGAATCAGAAGGGGCCTCCTGGGCCATTTCATCTGACCCCCGACTCAGAAGGTTCTGCTCATGACCTGCCTAATTCTGTACATGCCTACCTAGAAGTAAGTCCCATTGACTTAAAAGGGCCTTACTTAGTGTTAAGTGAATATAGTATTGCAGCATATTTTAGGGCCACTTCATGTCATGCTTGTGTTTATCACTATTGTTTGGATAAAATACTTGCTAGTAAATGTTTTATAAATCATAAAATTAAAACAATTTATTTCTCTATAGAGAACAGTTTCCTCATGTAGGTTGTAATGTGTTGACCGTACCCATATGTAAATCAGTGCCTGTACATTTACCTGTACATTTGCTAGGAAGCTGCCAATTGTCATGGATTCTCTGCGTATCTGTATGCGGAAGATATGCATACATAGGATTGGTACATTAACATATGTGTATGGGAACAGCCTACTGTGAATATAGCAAAGGCTTGCTTGCTTTGTTACTGATTTGGCAATAACATATTAAAGCCTGTGGCCTCAAAAGCCTAAATAAATACTTAGAAGGTTAATGCCCTAATTTCTCTTGTACTCTATTTTCCGGAATTATTCCTGTCAAATGTTGCATTGAATTTGCTTTTTGGTGCACAGTTTCTCTTTACACTGAAGCACTGCACAAGTCAAAATTTACAGCTGATATTCATGATGGATTGTGCTATGATGGATTGGAGCTGACTCTGCAGCTTTGGCATTCTAAGAGGACATTTCAGGGGGAGGATTGGTTTGTTTTTACCGATTGAATACATTTTCTAAGTTCCCCCAATCTCTCCATACTCCGAAATGCCAGAGGAGAGCTTATTCTGTGACTTACAGCTCTTTCAGTCAGGGAATAACTATACCAGGACTCTCCTTTGCTAATCCCAGCCTCTTTGGGAAGTGTATGGGAAGCATTTTCCCACCCTAACCATCTCAAGTGGATGCATGCCATAATTGCATTCCTCCTGCATCTATATCCTTCCCTACTCTCATGCTCCTGATGTTATTGTTATATTATTAATATTTTCAGTATCTGCATTTCTTTGGTGCAAAATCTCAGCTCTGACCTTGGAACTCCAGCACAGCACCTTAGCTCTGCTATGGCTTCAGTTTGCTGCTACATCTTTTTCTGTTAAGCCTGGGTTCAAGTTTTGGAAGACTCTGGGCAGATTCCCCCTCTCCTGCACCAGTGTGCCCTGCAGATGCTTCATTCCCCCTCTCAGTAATGAGTAAGTTGGCTTTGCCAGAAGTACCAGCATAGTAACTAGTAAGTGAACATTCAACCCGAAACCCAGCTGAAGTTTGCCACTAGGAAGGAGTGTGGGGCAGCTACATTCACTTTGGGGTAGCTTCACTGGTGGCGGTGCTGTGGTGGGCCCCAAGCTGAGCAGCTGCTCTTCTGCTGGCCTTTTACGGAGCCATCAATGCCAGAGAAGCCTGTGAGCAAACAAGAGCCTGGTGGCTAAAGCACCATTGTTGTCAGGAGGCCCATGTGTCAGGGAGTGGTATGCAGGGAAGGCAACTCAGCAGCCCTGATGGGCTGTGAAGAAAATCCATCAAATGCCCTAGAATGCCATAGGTTGACACCTGGTCTTCTTTCTGCCTCAACATACATAGGTTGTTGGCTGTCACACTGGGCATGTCAAGTCATGGGTCTACAAATTACATGCATATGATTCTCACATTTAGTGCCACCTCTTCCTGCCTGTGATTATCTTTCAGTGCAGGACCTCATCCCTTCTTAGTATGCCCTCACTGATGCAAGGACCTTGCCTGATAAAGGTGGATACCTACCTTGTGCCTTTGCCTCTCTCTGGGCAACATCCAATGGGAGTGCTTAAACCCCTGCCAGTTCCCTCATGCCCACCAATTTTGTTGCATAAATGATCCCCACCTCTTGTCAACATTGATTTTGCACTTCTGGAGCAACACAGTATGAGTGGAAATGCTCATTTCTGGAAGGAGGCAGGTTGGCAGAGCAGAATCATTTCTGCCTGTTTCACGGTTTTCTTTAGGAAGTCCCAAATCTTCCTTGCATATGTGGTAAGTCCTACTTGCGTGATCGAATCAGCAGGATCCATTGCTTGCAGGAAGTGACTGGAGGAATGAAAGAGAAGCAGCAGGGAGGAAAACAGCCCATGCCTCCAGAAATCTCTACCCATATTTCTACTGCCTCTCTTATCAGATCTCAGTGCCTGCTTCGGTGCATGTGTTTGTCTTTCTCTACTAGGCCTCCTCTTATGCCAGCACTTGGAAGGTATGATGGAGCTGGCTTTGAATACTGGCCATGCTTCATCCCGCTTCCCTCCTGATAAAAATATAAGAAAAGACATGCTTTATCAGATTAGTATTCCTTCTGGTACAATAAAGTGTTCACACAGTGGCGAGTCAGCTGCCCATAGGATCTCTCAAGCAGGAGGGGTACAGGAGTTTTACCTGACCAAGCTCCACAGCACCTGGCTCACACAGCCTCTGACAATGGCAGTGGCCCATAGCCAGTGAGGTTATTAGCCACTGATAGCTTTCTCCTCCATGAATTTGCCAGATTGTTTTATAAAGCCCTTTTAAATTGTTGGGCATCACTACATCCTGTGGCAGTTAATGCCATAGTTTAAATATGCACTGTGCAAAGAAGTACTTCCTTTTTATCTGCCCTAAATCTCCCACCAATCAACTTCATGGGATGACCCCAGATTCTATTATGGGAGAGGATTGTCTCCCTCTCTACTTTTTCACACTTTGCAAATTTTTAAGCACCTCTATCATGTCTCCCCTTCTTTGTCTTTTTCTAAGCTGAACAGACCCAATTATCATAGCTTCTCATAGGGGAGCTGCTCCAGCTATTTGGTTGCTTTTGTTGCCTTCCCTGCGCCTTTTTCAATTCAACAATGCCCTTTTTCAGGTAAGGTGATCAGAACTGAGCACAATATTCCAAGTGTGGCCACACCAAGGATTTGTATAAGGGAATTAAGATTTTGTCTGTTATATTTTCTGTTCTATTCCTAACAATGCCTAGCACAGGCATTCTTTCTTCACAGCAGCTAAGCACACTAGGCCAACATTTTCATCAAGCTGTCTACCACAACGCCAAGATCCCTTTCTTGATTAGCTCAGTTCCTGTCAGCCTGTACTTGAAGTTGGGATTTTTTGCACAAACATGTGTTACTTCACACTTGCTTAAACTGAACTGCATTTCCCATTTTTATGCCCATTCCCCTAGCTTGGAAAGGTCCCTTTGGAGCTTCTTGCAATTTCTTTTGGTTTTAACCATCCTAGAATAGTTTGATATCATGAACAAACATGGCCATTTCACTGCTTATTCCTAATTCCATATCATTTATGAATAGGTTGAAAAGTATTGGTCCTAATACAGAACACTTTGGGATCTCACTGGTTACATCTCCATTGGGAAAAATTAGCATTCATTACCTCTCTTTGCTTTCTATTCTTTAGCAAGTTATTAGTTCATAAAATGATTGCCTCCTTTTATTCCATGACTGCTAACTTTGCTCAGGAGATTGGGGGCGGGGAGGGCGGAATTTGTCAGAAGTCTTTTAGAAGTCTAAGTAAAGAATGTCTGCTGGATGGCCCTGTCTGTGCACTTACCAATATTCTCAAACAAACCCAATAGATTAATGAGATTGGGCTTTGCAGAAGCCATGTTGATTCTTTTTCAGTAGGATTTGTCCCTCTATCTGCTTACTGATTCTATCTTTAATAACACTTTCAACCAATGTACACAGAACAGATGTTAAGCTAACCAGCCTGTAATTCTCTGGATCCCCTGAGATCCAATTTTAAACATAGGTGTTACATTCTCCAGTCATCTGGTAACAAGCCTGATATTAGGGACATATGACATATCTTGGTAAGAAAGCCAGCAATTTCATATTTGAACTCTTTAGGAACTTTAGGATGGATACCATCTGGACCTGCTGAATTATTAACTTTGGTTCATTAATAAGTTTGAGAATTTTATCTTTCATCATGCCTTAATTCCTTAGACCCCCTTCCCAAATACATATGCTCAGAATACATATGTTCTGTATCCTCTGCTGATGAAAAAATTATTTATTGTTAAATTTATATTCTACAACCAATTAGTCCAACAGGACTCTCCACTTC